TTACGTTATTCTAGTACGTACTATCTATGTGTAGTAGTACGTAGTAGTAGTAGTACGTAGTATACTATACTACTACTACTACTATATATATATATATATATATATATATATATATATATATATATATATATATATATAGAGAGAGAGAGAGAGAGAGAGAGAGAGAGAGCGCGCACATTGGAGCATGTAGGGGGGTGGGTATGCTCAGCGTGACTTCATTTATGTGAAAGACAGCATTTCAATCAAGTAGGTAGAAATAACAAGAATGTCATCATAATATGCAGAGATCTTGGTGTTTTCTCATCAAGTTTATCACAAACTTTCTAGGTGCTCCACTCAGCCGTCCCCACCCACAAAAAAATGGATAAATTAATGAATAAATTTTAACCACAATATTAACCCCGACTGTTTTTTTTTTCACTCACCTCCCAAAGTAAAATAATTCATTTATTTGACCAAAATATCCTTATTTTTTAACCCAAATTTCTCTCTCATCTAAAGACCATCTACTTTCTCTCTTTAACCCGTTCAATAACATTTTAGTGCCAGACCAACTGGGATGTTACGCTGGCCCCGCACAAAGTGCGCTAGACCGGGTTTGGGTTGTGTGCAACGTTTTTTACAAGAAAAGATAAAATTAGATTAAAAAATAGGGGTATTTTGATTTGAAAAAATTAATTTTTTTTATTTGCACAGTATGTGCCAAAATGTTTTTTTTATAATTTTTCCAAAAGCAATTAAAGAAAAATCTATCCGTAAAGAAAGTGAAATTCATAAAAAAAACACTCTCAAGAGATTAACTAACATCTCATCCATTTCTTTTGATTTAATTTCAAAAACCAATCAACGGACACATAATCATAAATTAAAAAAAATGGTATTTTAGTTGGGTTGCATAATCATAAATTAAAAAAAATGGTATTTTAGTTGGGTTTTGACAACCGGAGACATTGTTGTATGGTGGATATTTTGGAAGTAGTTTCATAAATTTCCAATAAAAAAAAACAATCAGTCAAAACTCTGTCAATGTACACTAACTACGAATTAAGCAACATAAGAGAAGGCTAAACCTAATGTAGAACAACAAACAAGGCTCACGATGATTGAAGATTGTTCATGTCTTTCTTTCAAGTAATTACTTGGAATTAAGATCGGAATTTTATAAATTCAAATAAACAGCAAATAATGGTGAAAATTCAAGAGAAGTAAAAAGAAGTTCATCATTATAAAAAAAACAACTTTACTGAAAATAAATTGAATTTCAAGTAAAAACAATATCAGATATTACATCTTCATAATTACCAAGAAAGATGTGTAGATATCTCTGAGAGTTACCTGTAAATAACTTGAAAGCAGTAGGCGCATCTCTTCTCTGTAAAACCCAGAAGATGTCTGATTTCTTTGACATGTACAGTCCAGGATCTATTATCAATGGCTTTGCCCTCTGAGCCCTGCATACCATAAGTTTGGTTTTCGCTGCATTAGTAACAGTGGAAGAAATATTTCTTTTTTTGGGCAGCGAGAGAGAGACAGAGAAGCATGATCATGATCCACTTCCACATAGAAGTGGACCTGCAGCACTAACTGAGCAAGAAAAAGTAAGATGCTAAATATGTATGCAGTCCAGCTTAAGAACATATAATCCAACACCCTTTCCTCTTCTGACATGCCCAAAACACCCTTAAAATTTTAAATATCAGACATTGAAATACATTGGGTGCAATGATAATATAAGCCAACTCACCAGGCAAAATTCAACAATACACATGGAAGATAATTGTATCCTTTCAGCTCACCAGGCAAAATTCAACAATACACATGGAAGATCACTCGCATCTTTTCAGGAATAGTGAAATTTTAGCCAACACCTTCTGAAATTCAGGCTGATTGCTTGCCAAAATTCAGATTTTTTTAATATTCATGATCAATAAACTTAAATTCACTAACTCATGAAAGTCAGACAACTTTTTCTATAATAGGGTTATTTGTTTCTTTTCAAAGAACTAACCTCCAACATTTCATAAAATCATAGGGTTCTTTGTTTCTTTTCAAAGAACTAACCTCAAACATTTCATAAAATCATCGGTCAGCCACTAACTTATGATCATATATCAGCCAAAATACCTAAAAGTATGGTTTAAGGCCTCACCAAAATTGTAAATGAACTTCAGTTTTGAACCACTATGAAACTCTAGCAGAGCTCAAGATATAAGAAAAAAAGTAGAAGAAGAAATAAAATTAGAAAAACTAAAAAGAGAAGAATATATGTATTTTTGTTTCTGAAAATTTAAGATTTTATAAATTTATATTTTCCTACCATTTATAACTTACATTTTAGTAATACAACATGTTTCAAAATTTCCCAGAAAACAATCAAATGTGAGGGAAAATTTTGCCATATCAAGGAAAATATCATTTCAGGAAAATCCCACAGAACCATTTCAAAAACAGCTGAGACATTTGTCCCCACATACGGGGTGTACACAAACTCACATATTCGTAGAACGAGAAATACAACAATGATTCTGAGAAAAATAAATATGTAATGAGAGTTTTAGAGTCGTATTCAGAAATTTATGCAAATAATTCAGACATTTATCTAACCAAAATAAAAATAACAATCATATGATGCAATTGATGTATATTCTCACTCCTTCCAGCCCAACCGACTGGTGTGGTCCACAAAATTCAAGTCTCTTGGTAATGATGAAAATGTGAAGAGAATATCTGCAAAAGAAACAATTACAATATAAAACTCAAATCAAGGTTGAAATTCAATTAAATCTAGAAAAATCGAGAAATTCATCATAGCCATCAATATCATTCAGCACTCCAAATAATAAAATAGGAGAGAAAATGGCAGATATCCACTCCCTTGTCCAAAATTATCAAAAGAAACACACCAAACCGTTTTTCTTAAATGCAAGCCAACATTATTATGAAAATGCCAAAACACCCCAATCTAACTTCAAGTAAGAAGGCCACTAGAGCCCCTACTGTAAAACCAAATAATTGATACAACTGAAACAATCCTGAGTTTCCAGTAAATGCTACCGAAGTTCTAGACATTTATATGGCTGCCCCTACATTTCCTTCAACAGTTGGGCTCCGGTTCATTAAATATGAGCCCCTTGATGAAAGAGCAAAGACCAAAAATGCCTAATGAGTAATGTCCTAAGTATAATGTGGTGGACCACAAACACAGAGCGTTAATGTTTAATCTATCTGTTGGTGTGTTTCAGTCAATTTCCAATGTCAGAAATTGAGAATTCCTTTCAAATAATTAAAAGAAAAAATAAAACTATAATTTGGGGTGAAGAAATTGCAGAAATGAGCTCACTATCCTGAGTCACAAGAGGATAATCTGAGGCACTAAAATTGATGAACAAGGATTAATAAAACTATAATTTGGGGTGAAGAAATTGCAGAAATGAGCTCACCATCCTGAGTCACAAGAGGATAATCTGAGGCACTAAGATTGATGAACCAGTCCCAATCCTTGCTCTTCCTCAACAAAATTGCACAAGCATGAAGTGTATTGGCCACCATTGTTGGGCCTCTATAGGTGACCATATTAGCCTTGGTAATCATATGAACATTGCCCACTTGTTTAAATATTGGGTCTTTCTTAATCCTAATAGAAAGCTCTAATCTCTCAGTAACAGGGGATTCCAAGTCCAAATGGACAACATACTGGTTCAAGGGATGATACAAAGCTCTTAAACTTCTCCAAAGCCTCTCTAAATCACCCCTAGAACCAGAAACCAAGTAAGCAATTCTCGGTATAGGGGAAGATGAAGATGGGGATCCTGTATTTGAGGCCTTTGATTCTATGAAAAGTGGGCAAGTCTTGTTAACCGCTATTCTCGAAGGTAATATCGAGATTATGGAATTAATTGGCCGCAATGAAGAGAGGAGGCCTAGGTTAAAGGAAAAAACCAGGAAAAATATGCATGTAAGAAAGGTTACAATAATGGGAAAAAGCCATTTCTTATCCATGGGTATCAAGAGAAGGTTTTTCAATGCCTCAAACTTCTTCTCCATCTTTCATTTCTCTCTCTCCCCTACAAAGTATTTCAATTCATTGTTCTTCATCAAGAAAGGTAGGATTTTTCTCAGGACATCAGGATCAGAGCACAATAAAGTGTTTGCCCTTAACTTTTGTTAGCGAAAATGGCTTTTTGAGGCAATGGAGACAAAAAAGTATAAAAGATATGCTATAAAAGTATGAAAGAATAACAGATTGGCCAGAGCTATTTATTCATAATTTCATATTGTTTTGACCTTTTCAGGTAAGACACAAGGGTTTCGAAGATCACGACAAAGACCAAAAGAATTTCATGGAGAATCGACAAATATTCAAAGATCAGATAGAAACAAGAAGCATTCTTGAGAAGAATGAACAATACGGAAAGAGAAACATCAAGCCAGAAAGCAACAAACTTCAATCAGGTCCAAAATATTATGGAGAAACCCTGATAACTCACAAAAATATAAAATCAAACATAAGCACCAGAATGGTGCCTAGGGACCTGAATAATTCCTTAGAAAATTATCAATCTCTTGCAGTTGCACTAATTCTCGACGGAAAATAAACCGTTAAATTCAGAAAAGGATCAAAGGGAACCCTAGAAAGTTTTAAAAAACACGGCAAATTGAGCCGGCAATCTCTAAAGGAAACCCTAGTTATTTAAATACGGGATTATCACCATTCAAAAAATTCAACGAAGCAAAGGTCGAAAAAAAATTTGAATTTACGGAAACAGAATCCCTTCAAGACCTGCGAGGCTACCCAAAAATATATCAAATAATGCAAGAAACTCTGCAAAATCTGTATAAAACGCTCTCCAGGTTGAATGAAGTGATAAGAGAAAGAGGAATTAAAAAACCAAGAAACCTGGTTTTCTCCTACGATTTCCCGGTCAATTTTCAAGAGAACGTAGCGTAAAAATTTTCAGTGAGAGACAATAGAGGGAGAGCAGTTTTAGTGACAGAAAACGGGGGAAGCAATTTTAGTGAGAGAAAATGGAGAGAAGAATTTTAGAGAGAGAGAGAGAGAGAAGGGTGGGGATGAAAGGAACGGGGGAAGCGATTTTAGTGAGAGAAAATGGAGAGAACAATTTTAGAGAGAGAGAGAGAGAGTGAAGGGCGGTGATGAAAGAGGGAGAACAGGTTTCATGGCGAGAAAAGATAATTGGTCGTGGGGATTTTCTAATAAAGCGAGGATTAAGCGGCAGGGATATCGATGGGGATGTTACGCGATTCACGAGACAGAAACACAGATAGAGATAGAGATTGAGATAGAGAGAGGTGTGACTAAATAAATACATAAAACGTTAAGAGAGAGAGAGAGAGAGAGAGAAAGGGTACTAAATAAGTACTAAAGAACGTTAGAGAGAGAGAGAGAGAGCTGACAACATAAGTACCATAAAAACGTAGAGAGAGAGAGAGAGAGGAGACTAAAACAATAGATAAAAACGCTGGTGTCCAACGGGTGACACCAAAATAAGTGCAGTTTTAGCGGTTGCATGTGAGGATTTAGAGAGAAGGTTTTCTTGGACGATGAAGATACGAACCTTGCGATCCCTCCAAAATACGGGACTCGAGTGTTACTCTTTTGGTAAATTTCAGCACGCCACGTCAACCCAGCCTCCTCACCCTCACCCTCACCCTCACCTCTCTTCGGACCGGTGCTCCAACCACCAAGGGACTCAGGTCCACCTAAAATCGGTCTCGCATCGGATCAGTATTTTTCTTTTTTTTTCATAAATAAATATTTAAATTTTTTAATAAATTATAAAAAATATGAGGTAAAATTATTAGAAACTTGGTTAAAAATAGGAAATTTTTTTTAAATATAATCTTAAAAACCAACTTGTGCAAAACATTAAATAATGGAGGATTTTATTAATAAATATAATTCTAATGCTAAAATTAAAATAGGAACATTTTTTCAAAAATAATCTTAAAAACCAACTTGTGCAAAAAATTAAATAATGGAGGATTTTATTAATAAATATAATTCTAATGCTAAAATTAAAATAGGAATTTTTTTCAGAAATAATCTTAAAAACCAGCTTGTGCAAAAAATTAAATAATAGAGGATTTTATTAATAAATATAATTCTAATGCTAAAATTAATATAACCTATGACATCATTATTTATGAAGTTGAAGTGAGCCAGTGAAGTAGTAGGTGCACCTTTGTCCCCATTAAAGAGAGACAAAACAAATGACTTCCAAGAGGGAAAAACAATTTAAAACAAAAAAAAATACAGTAAAAAAAAAGTGAAGAATGCATCCCAAAAGGACAAGTAAGAAAAACCCCGGCAACTATTATTGCCAAAATTTTGAGATCTTTTGGATTAAAGATTTTGGAAATAAAACCAAATTACGAAAACTTCCTTTAATCCATTTAGGATGACGATGTTTGCCTTTGAGATCTTTTGTACTAAAAATTATGGAAATAAAGCTAAATTGGGAAAACTTCCTTTTAACCGGTGTTTGAAAACTCGTTGAGTCGAGCCGAACTCGCCTGGTTCGACTCGAGAATCGTCGGTTACCGAGCCGGTTCCACAAAAAAATCGGGAATCGCCCGTGTCTAGAGAGAACCGGGCGATTCCCAATAGTAAATCGTGAATCTCACCGAAAATTTGTGGGTTCACTTGGCCGCCCGGTTCGACTCGGGAATCGTCGGCTACCGAGCCGGTTCTACGAAAAAATAGGGAATCGCCCGTGTCCAGAGAGAACCGGGCGATTCCCAATAGTAAATCGCGAGTCTCACCGAAAATTTTGGGGTTCGACTCGGGAATTGTTAGCTAACGAGCCGGTTCCACGAAAAAATCGGGAATCGCCCGTGTCCAGAAAGAACCGGGCAATTCCTAATAGTAAATAGTAAGTCTCATCGAAAATTTTTGGGTTCACGTGGCCGCCCGGTTCGACTCGGGAATCGTCGGCTACCAAGCCGGTTCCACAAAAAAATCATGAATCGCCCGCGTCCAGAGTAAATCGCGAGTCTCACCGAAAATTTTTGGGAGAACCGGCCAATTCCCAATAGTAAATCGCGAGTCTCACTGAAAATTTTTGGGTTCACGTGGCCGCCTCATGAGAGCGACACGTACCTAAAAAACCTCCACATATGGCAATTCACCTCGCTCGTATGCCCCCTTCGCTTTTCTATACGCGTTCTTGAATGACTAGTACACAACACTTTATATAGAACAAAGGGTCTCTCATCCTTCGATGTGGGATAATTCCCACAAAAAGCCATTCAAACAAGATGATTCAATATGTATTATATTATAGTTGCTAATGAAACACATTAGGCGATGTGGCGGTGTTGGGTGACAACCTTGAATTTTCGGGTGAGAGTCTTGAGTTCGAACCTTGCGCGTCGTCGTTTATAATACAATATTTTTTTAAAGATAAAGATAAAAAATAGAGATAAAGATAAAAAATAAAAAGCCTTTCAAGATAACGAATAAAAAACTTGAAATAAAATAGAAAAAATAAAAAGCTTTTATCGTTGTAAAAGAAGCTTAAAAAATAAAAAATAAAAAGCTTTTCAAGATAAAGATAAAAAATATAATACAACATTTTTTTATTTTTCTTGTAAAAAAAATACAAGGTAACATAAAAGTATTTCTTGCAAAAAAAATAAAACATAAGGCATAAAAAAAAAATTTGACAACAAAAATAAACAAAAGCAGTAAATACTGTTGTAAAAAATTAGAAAAAATAAAAAATAAAACGGCTTTTCAAGATAAAGATAAAAAATATAATACAACATTTTTTTATTTTTCTTGTAAAAAAAATACAAGGTAATATAACAAGTACTTATTACAAAAAAATAATTATATTTTTTATTTTTATAACATGATAGTCTTTAACATAAATTTAATAATATTAATTTAAAGATAGGATTCATACAATGAGGCCATTTGAAATCTCTCTGTCTGCTAACAATCTTTTCTACTAATTTATTCTAGAAACTTAAAAAATTAAAGAAAATTGGTACGCGTTCTAATAATTTCTACATTGATACCAAATCTTTTATTTTATTTATTAATTTTTGTATTATAAATCATGTAGTGTACTATTTTTCTTACAG